TCCCTTAACCTGTGTAATAAGATAACTAATAACTCCTGATATATATATATATGTATATTATTTATTTAATGGTCCCTTCTTTCAGCGAGAATCCTGGATAATCGTGAGTTTATTGATGTTATAAACTACAGGTAGTTACAGCGAACGTAACGCAGACACAAACACACACACACACACACACACACACACACACACACACACACACACACACACACACACACACACACACACACACACACACACACACACACACACACACACACACACACACACACACACACACACACACACACACATGTATATATATATATATATATACGCAGCGCAAACACACACCAAAAGACATGCACGCACGCTTGCGACTCGGGCACAAATTTCTTGGGCATGTTAATAGAATGTAACAAAATGTATTATGATTCACTCATTTTATCTTTCACTGTGGAAATTTAGAATCTCCGCTTTTAAATCCTTTATTTCCAATAGCGCAGACTGTTATACCGCCGCTCGTTAGAGCTATGGTTAGAGTTAAAGGTTAGTATTAGGTTTTACCATTAAGTATTACAATAAACCGGCTTTAACATAATATCACGTCATCATGCTTTAATGATCGACATCTGTCATGAGTTTTATGTCATCAATGCGCATGCGCAACACGTCAACTGTCCGTTAATAGCAGCAATCGCTTAAGCATGCGGCAGTATCATGCATTACTCTAATATCTACCGTTTATAACATGATCTCCACGAATCTTTCACCACTGCTATGCCCTGACGCTTTCCCGCCACTCAGTTCCGTGAGTATGTGTGTGTGCGTGCGTGCGTGCGCGCGCGCGCGCGTGCGTGTTTGTGTGTGTGCGTGCGTGCGTGCGTGCGTGCGTGCGTGCGTGTATGTATGTATTATGTAAAAAGTAGTCGTGGGAGAAAATGTTCGTTGGTTTTGTCTTGTGCGTACTGCATTCATTTTGATAAAATGTTGGCTGTATAAATTTTCATCAAATGACACTCCACCATAAGTCACTATAGGTCTGTCTATACGTTTCTCCATAAGTCACTATAAGTTTTCATCAAATTTTCATTCAGGAGGAACCAGAGAAAAAGAACGACGACTATGCTGCACGAACGACTATGCTGCACGTTATGCTTCATTAATGATGCAATCTTACGCGTCATCCGTTGTCACGGTGTTGACGATCACGTGTCAGCTGCTATCACCAGTTACCGCTGGACAGCCACGTCCCATCTACATCGGTGGCATCATATCAATGAAGGTATAGGTGCTCGGATATAATCTGATAGAATTGAGCTTGGTTGCGTTCACACGGCAAAGAAGTACTTGCTAGTACATATACGGTAACATACCCGTGTATATAGCCTGTAGCAGCTAACTTGGTTGCGCCGCCAGAATGAATAAAAGCATTGACAAGGAACAGTTGCATAGCCATTCATTTCGTTTACGTTTTCTTGCAATTTCTCTCTTCCCCCTCTTTGTTCGCCTTTCTCACACTGTCTGTCGGTCTGTCTGTCATTTTGACGCTCTTTTCTTTCCTTCTCTCTCTATCTCCCTTTTCTCCTTTCCCCCTCTCTCTCCGATGCTCTCGCGCCAGTCACAACGTTGTGTCATGCAAGTGCTCAATTATACTCGCTAATGCTGAATGTTTCTGGCTTCAGTATTTCTGTATTTAATCTGATTACAAATTGAAGCAGGATACCGTTCAGCATGCCTGACAAGTCTTGTTCGGAAATGGTAAGTTGTGACGTTCTTCATCTTGTAGAGCTCTGTGTGGGACGGGAGCGGGGCGATTCCAGGAATAGAGACGGCAATGGCTCACATCAACGCTAACAGTTCAGTGTTGCCTGAACACGAGCTGCACTTTATCTGGGACGACGGCCACGTACGCCAAATTTTTCTCTGGATTCCTCTTTGCAATTTTGCTTTGATGTCACAAGCGATATAGCAGCAGCAATACATTTTGAAAATTAGCTCTCACAGGCGCTGTGGAGATGGCCGGTTATTGAACTATTATCATGAAATATGTTATAATAATGTGTGTGGGAATGCGTGTATTCAGTGGCACCTCACGCGATCGATTACCTTCGTCCATTTTGCCACTTATGGCGTATGTATTCCATTATACCATTTCATATCCATTACATTTACGGTATAAATTCACGGTCTACTCTAAAAAATAAAATTATACTTTAATCGTAGCACATTTTTACGCAGATGCATTATTCATTGTAAATGATGTTCATGATCGAGGCTTTGCTGTTTATAGTGTGACAAAGGACATAGTATCAAAGTGATGTATGATCTACTGTCGAGCGCTCCAATTAAACTCGCTGTAATAGAAGGTGGATGTTCCACATCGGCCCTGCCGACAGCTGGTCTCGCAAGATATTTCAACATAGTAGAGGTCAGTATCTAATTATAAGAAAACTTCGTGATTCTGCTATGTAGATAATTGGTAATGCGTGGCTTATAATTAGTAGTAGTAGTAGTAGTAGTAGTAGTAGTAGTAGTAGTAGTAGTAGTAGTAGTAATAGTAGTAGTATTAGTAGTAGTAGTAGTAGTAGTAGTAGTAGCAGTATGTGCCACTTCGTATAATTGTTGGCAAATTTGTCATTGCTAGTGACGAAAAATAGAACGTTAACATCAAAAGAATATTAACGTGATCATTAATTAAGCCATTTTATGGAGAAAAAAAACATTATCAATACATCATCGGGTGCGTCAACTAACGTACAACTATGAATAAATCTACTGTTCGGCTACTTCTGTACTTCTGTACTTCTAAGTACATCTTCTGTACTTCTAAGTGCTGTAGCCTACTGGTTGCCTCATTTGTTGCAGGATTCTGCGCTCCCACTGGTATTCTGGACGCACTAACAAATTGGGGAAATCAAGCTCGAGATGCAATTCTTACCGAACTAAATACGGGTAACGCGACTCGATCGTTTAGAGGTAGGTATAACGAAAATATATCAGCGCACCTCTTTTCGAGTATTACGTGTGCAATAGCTATGAGTTTCACCCATTATGCATACAACATGAGCGGCTTCAAAATAGCACACTACTAGTGTCAGTACATTGAGACATATGAGAGCACTATTGCGATGCACGGCGTTTTAATAATACTTCTTGAGGACCGTTTTTTATAGTAGGCGTAGGATGACGATTCTCTTGCGTGATGGCCTTTTGGTTTGCCGTGGCACGGCCGTGATATACAGCAATATTTATGCGAGGCATTGATGCAATGGCCTTCGAAAGCTCTCTCTAATCACAGATAATATCGTTAGCGAAATTATGCATTTTTTTTAGCATTTATTTCGTGCAATTTGACTGAAGTGCCCTTCTATTAGGCGCGAAAACTAAAAACTACAAGAGCTACAATTAGTATTTGTGCTTTTAGTGACACTTGAAGAGAAAATACGTGAAGGCGCGACCACTATAAAAGAAGCATTCGACGACGTGAAGGATATCGGAGAGATGGTACGAGTAAAATAGTACGATGAAATAGATTTTACATACGTATTTGCTCATGTATGTGCGCCTGTAAACTGTGCGTATTCGCCGAGAGCTCAGTTATGTTATAGTGAAACAAAACCGGGTGCCATATTTCTCTCTAATCTAACTTATTCAGACAGCCATTGATTAAAAAAACACCATGTTACAATGGTTTTAATCATATTTCTGACACGAGTTATTACTTTGCCATATGTATAGTACACACGCGGTGATCCACATTATTAGTAATACGGTTGACACACCGAACTTTCAATGCGCATTGAAGCGCTTCAACGCGGTTATGTACACACCAGATACGGTTGTAATGCGCATCAATGCGCATTATTTTTCAATCCACATACGTATGTGGATTGAGCAGTTCGCTTACGGTTCGATTCGGTTCGGTTCGGTTCTGTTTGGCGGTGTGTCAACGATGATTTTACAACACGGTTCTGTTCGGTTTGGGATTAGATGATGAAATCACGTGGTATTCTCTTGAAGATCCTGTGATTGGATGAAGAAATTACGTGGTGTTCTCGTGAAGATCCTGTTGAATGCGTTGTTGGATTTGCGTTCGGTGGCTTCGGATTTCCGTTCGGATTTGCGTTCGGTTGTTTCGCTGTGTCAACGGTATATCCACATATGAAATCGAATTTATGTCATTCGTTACAATGCGCATTGATGCGCATTGATCAATACCGAATTCGGTGTGTCAATGGTATAAATAATGAAGATTCTAATACCCTTGACACATCCAAATTCCGTCATTGACCAGAGCGCATTCAATGCGCATCAATGCGCATTGTAACCGAATGACATAATTCATTTCATATGTGATATACGTTGACACACCGAAACAAACCGAACGCAAATCGCAACGCAAATCCGAAGCGCAAATCCGAACGCAACTGAAACGCAAATCCAACAACGAATTCAACATGATCTTCACGAGAACACCGTAATTTCCATCACCCAATCACAGGATCTTCACGAGAACACACGTGATTTCATCATCCAATCCCAAACCGAACAGAACAGTGTTGTAAAATTATCGGTGAACACACGACAACAGAACCGAACGAACCGAATTGAACCCGTAAGCGAAGCTGCTCAATCTACATACGTATGTGCATTGAAAAATAATGCGCATTGATGCGCCATTAAACCGTATCTGGTGTGTACATAACCGCGTTGAAGCGCATCAATGCGCATCACAGCGCATTGCAAGTTCGGTATGCAACGGTATTAGTATAAGTAAATGGGACGCCTTCTCTTTTTCTAATTGTATGCTTGTGTTATATGAATTAAACGCATAATTTCGCTATTGAAATTTCATCTTGTCATATAAATTGCACAAAAGGACGCAGTGTAGTGGCGTTAAGCGTTAATGCATTACGCGTTTCGATCATTACCCACACACAAAATGCGTAAGTGACAATGTAAAAGTGGCTAAAACACGTTTAAAACGACTATAAATAATATAACGAAAACATTTTGCATAACAAAATAGCAGCTAATTTATTACGTGTTACGCTAGCTAACTTTAATTCATTTTTTTACCCAAGTGGATAGATAGCCTGCTGGAGAAAATCAAAACGAGCGGTCAATTAGAAGCAATAAAGCAAACCGCTCAGCAGTGGAAAGAGATCGCCAAGGAGGAACTAGCCGAGCTGGGTAGCGCGTCGGTTGATGCCACTGAAGAATGGCGCGCCGCTGCCAGGCGAAGCTCCTAGAGTGGAAAAAGCGCCGTCGAACCAGAGTTAAAAGATTGGCAGATAAAGCTGAGATGCTCGGCAACGTAGCGGACGAGTCCGTAACCGAGCTGAGGGGCTTCATTAGTGACGCAATCGACAACTGGACGAAATACAATCGAATGTTGCTAGACAGCTTGCACCGACATCAGCTACAACCACCACGTACAGGTGTGACGAATGCTAACGAGCTTTACTCGTAATTCAGTCATAAGTCGAGTGGAAAAATTCTAGTCGATGATCTGTGCAACGTCGAAACCACGCTGCACGAATATTCAATCTAGTCGTATTTCTTTTATAGATTGCTAAACATCTCTCCACAGATTTGCTGCGACGGCAACGTATACTCCAAGTTTGGCTTCCTGGCCATTCACGCGTGCTGCGGAGAGTACTTGTTTGACATCTTCTCTCAGCAATGCTGCTACGGACGTGTTCTCAAGGAAGATCAAGTGTGCAACAATCCTGGTCAGATTGAGCAAGCTTCCACACGCAGCCCGACATACGTCCTTCGAGCCGTGAACAGTCCCACGAATTTCAATGCGACAGTTTAGCTAGGCTTAGCTTCTTTTTTTTTGGGG